AATATTATATACACTTTCCAAAAAAAAAGAACTGAGTACGAACTCAGTATGCAACAAAAGACTGTTTACTGTCAGTTACTGATCAGCATCCTCGGCACCCTCAGCATCACGTCTCTGGGCAGGATCAGGCCACATTCCTTCATCTACATCACAGTAAATGTTTTCTCTTGCAATGCAGCGGGGAAAATATGCTCTGCTGTCTTATCCAGCCTTGGATCGACTCTATAGCAATGTCACCACAGGCCTCTTCCATTGCTAGCAAAAGGTTTTCCCTTTCGTAAGGGTTTCGATCATAAACCTTCCACCGCCATGCAGAAAAAATACCTCTATGGGATTGAGGAACGTGGAGTATGCTGGTAGAAACATGTTAGAAAATCTGGGATGGTCATTGAACCAATTGCAGACCAGAGCAGCACGATGGAAACTTACATTATCCCAAATTACAACATACTGAGGCTGCTCGGCCCGCCCTGGCTCTCTTGCTTCATGTTGGATAATGGAACCATAGAGATGGTTGAGGACATCCAAAAGATGTTGTGTGTTGTAAGGGCCCAAGGTAGCATGATTGTGGAGAACCCCATGGTGACTGATGGCAGCGCAGTGTGTCACATTACCCCCACGCTGGCCAGGGACCTCCACAATGGCACGCTGTCCAATAATGTTCCGCCCCCTTCTCCTCCTTTTAGTTAGCTTACTGTAAACCCAGCCTCATCAATAAATATATATTCATGCAGGGTGTCTCTGCCATCAAACTCGAAGATGTTCTGCCAAAAGATGTTTTGAGTATGTGTACCATACGCAATAACAATCACTTTACCTGTAAAAGTACATGACCAAATTACAGCAATACAGTAAATAGCACATTAATGAGTTACACTTAGTACTTGCACATACTGCACTCGCGGATTCTTGACCTGCTCTGAATTCCTTTCAGAAGGCACCCTATATGCCTGTTTCATTCGAAGTCTGTTACGATGCAGGATCCGGTCAATTGTAGAAATACTTATACGATCAGTTTCTGAGAAGGCATGTTGATCGTCAATAATTCTCTGAATTTCACGCAGTCTAAGCAATGACCATATTTTACAATTGCAGTTTCTTGGTCCTTTGTCAGAAGACGTTGTCTGCCTCCCCCAGGCAGTCGCCTCTCAGTTCTGCTAAAATACAGTAGGCTACATAAGAACAACTAATACTGAGCAACAAATCAATTTTAAAGTTATGAGTTTAAGGATGTACAGCATACTGTACACAGAAGAACAATGAAGGTTCTCTCATCTAAATTTTAACTGTATATCTAAATAGTATAACAACCCTGTAGATTACTGCACAGTTTCTTTGGCAAATACCAGGTACCTGTTTTCTTCTCTAAATGTTCGAATGATGAATCTGCTCACATTCGGCTGAACTCGTTGGCCAGCTTCCCTCATGGTCATCCCATGCACAAGAACATGGTCAACTAGTGTTGCCCATATTTGGTCAGGAACAAATGTTCTTTGGCCCCTTCCTCGCTGTCTCCCACCTCTTTCTGCTCTTTCACAGTTAGGGTCAATTTTCCAAAGCAAATAATCACCTGTGGCCCTTTTTATATTACCTGAGATTCTGATGGGTGTGTCATCAATTTTGCTACTTAGTGTTAAAGTGCCCCTATTATGGAGTTTTGAAAATTAGCTTTCATGCAATGTGTAACACAGCTCTAAGTGAATGAAAACATCCTGCAAAGTTTTAAATCTGAACGTGCACCGTGTATAAAGTTATTGTCTCTCAAAAGAAAGAGTCGACTCTGAATCATTGAAACGAGTCGTTTTTAAAACAAATCCCAAGCCGTTTCATGTTGACGTCAACATGAAAATGCAAATTCATTTTTTGCCACTAGGTGCCGCTTTAGGAGCGGTAAAAATAGCGGTTTCCTCTGTAACGCTGTACACAAAGCAGCACTGCGCTCACAAACACTGCTTTATCAGGCATCCCAGGCAAGATGAAATGAAAATTAGACCAATCGGACCAATCACCTCAGATTAGCGTCACGCAAAGGAGGGGTTTGGAAAAATTTATCATTGAGCGAATCGTTTGGGAGTCATTGAGCAAGTAAGGTAAAAAATAAATGCATATTATAAGACAATGAAAGTGTTTTTTTTTTTTTTTATCTTGCATGCATGTCAACCTGTTATTGGGGACTCCCAAAACCGAAATATGAACCTTTTACCCATTACCCATAATAGGGGCACTTTAACACATGCATAATTGTGTGTTGATTGTGTTCAGCTTGTGACAGTGTGAGTTAATTATATTATGTGTTTGTGCTTTCTGAACGAGAGCATGGTTAAACCTGTGCAAAATGATGGCGTTTTTGTGTAGAGCTTTGCAGAAAGCACAGAGCAAATTGGAACATGTGTGCAAACAGGTGAAATGTGTTAAAAGTTTTGAGAAATGTGTCTGTATGAATGGTTTGGAGAATTGCGCCAAATGAATCAGTTATAGTGTTTTAGCAATCGAGAAAAACTGTAATTGTATCAGTATGCTAATTAAAAGGGGGTTTTGTATTGCCAATGTATGAAATGTTTCCAAAACAATAATTTACCATAGTGTCCAGTGGTTTTCAGACAGCAGGCACTGTATAAAGGCTTTTAGTCTGAGAACACACTGCTTTAGTGTCACACGGATGGGACGGCTGCAGCTGCTGTCACACACTCATTGAGATGCCAGTTGTAGTCTGGAGTCTTTGGATAGTGTTTCATGACCAGAGACACGTAATGTATGTGCGCTTGCAAATGCCAGCTAATCACAAAACAGTCTATGGCTACAGAACACAGTAACTTGCTTCCAAGACTATTACAATTAATTTACACTTTACACAAAACCTCGTCTACATTAGCCAGCTACTTTACCTTGGTTGACTTGCAAATCAGCTAAATTTGTACCAATGTTTGACATAAATCTAAATCTTTAAATTTATAAAACATATATTGAATACATAATTCCATTCAAATTTACTAGCAATGGGCATATCTTATGCAAAACCCACTTTTAGTTTTATGAAAATATTCAAAACCCAGTTGTGCATATGCATAAAATTACATTATTTGGTAAATACACTATAAATTTCACAATCACAATATTTTAGTAATACATAAGACCCCAGTATAAGATCATTTTATTTTGGTCTAAATTTGGAAAACAGGTTATGCAAAAATAATCAAGATTCAAGTACCATTTTCCTCCAGAAGGTGGTGATAATTAGCTAAAAATGGACAGTTCTTGAAGGTGTGTAATTTTATAATTGTACTATGTGGCACAAAGGTACAGCATTCCCTGAACCAATGGTCCGAGTTACCTGTCTGGCACTATTTTTGCAGTTCTGTTTAACACTACATCTTTAATATGAGAACGTGAATGTTGAAACTGGCCTGCAAACTGTAAAGTAAAATAAAAAAAAAATAAATAAAATAAAAGGCAGCGGTTTATTTTCTGTTTCTATTCTCTCCTTTCTCCTCAAGGCTGACTGTGAGCTTTGGTTATTGTAAAAGAAGTAAAGTATTTATAGCCATATAAACAGGCTCTATTGAGCTTGGCATTCATGCAAAGGAGGTCAATTTCTGAGCCAGATACTCAAGTCGTAAATACAAGGTGACCAGTTTCACTGATTGAGATTAACTGATGCCATTATAGTTAGCATCTATCAGTAATAACTGAACATAAGCAGCTAAATTCTGACTGAACACTGAAATGTTTGGACATGATTACAGTTGACATGTTTTTTTTTTTAAAGTGAAGAGTAGTAATAATTCCAGCAGGTATTATTGTTTCTTCTACCCAGTGAAAACTGGAAAACTATTGATGGGTGGCAGAAAAAAGTTTGTGTTGATGAGTTGGTGAGGAGTATTTCAGTGCATTCCTGTAGCCTGAATGGGCTTTTAGAGAAAGAGGCAAGAAATGCATCATGAAATCAGTGCACAGTGAGTGTGAGTGTGTGTGCAGCACTAATAGCTCTCACACTTACAAAACAAATCAAAATGAGGGAGTCATATAAAAATCAAACATAATAATAATAATAATAATAAATGGTGCAGAATTACACACATCCAAAAATTCACAAACCTGGCAAGCAGAATAAAACACAGCTGGAGATTAACTGGTGTCTCAAAATGCAAGACTTCAAATTTATCCATTTATCAAAACAAAAAAACCCCCCGACAACAACCCAACAATAAAACCAACTTAAAAATGCCCTCATGTCAATGTATATTATTGTACAATTGTGATAAAACTGCTTCCAATCCGAGCTCAGTAATGTATATCTCTTGCCTTCATGCTAGCACTGGATTTTGCTGCATTCCATACCACACTCAGAAAAAAAAAAGGCACAAATCTCTGCCACTGGGGCAGTACCCTTTCAAAAGGCACTGATATGTACAATTTAGGAACTAATGTGTACTTGTAAAATAATGATATGTACATTTAAGGCACTAATACCCTAGTAAAAAAAATGTATATACTTTAATGTATTTGAAATACTTTTTTTTTTCAAGCTAAGTATACTACAAATTAATTTACATTTGTATGTCCTTAAAGAGCCCATGCAATTGTACTTTAATGTACTAAACTGGTATACTTGTAGTCTGCTAAATTGGAACAAGTTATTTCGTGCTTAATGCACTTTCGATGTGCTAAAGTCCAGCTAAAGATATACAAAAGTATATTTGATTGTGCTAAAGTGGAACTATATTGCAAGTAGACTTCAGGTACACTTTAAATATCTTGCATTTAAAGACCGATATTATTCAAAGATCATGCAATCCTCATCCATAGCGACATTAAAAACTCATTTTAAGCTTAACCGTAAGAAATGTGCATTTTGCACAAGTAGTACTCCAAATAAAGTTTAATTATAATTTTTATATCATTACGTCTTGAACGATATGTCAGTAAATATGTTTATAGATTTTAAACTATATTTGGTATGAAATGAATGCATTTAAATATATTACTTTTTTACTAGGGTACGTACCATTAAGAGGTAAATAAGGTACAAAGATGTACGCTTTAGCATTACACCTTTTTTTCTAAGAGTGCACTTTATGTTCAAGTACTCCTGGAAAGAATTGTTGGAAATGACACATTGAAAAGTCTCTCATTCTGAAGTGGTTCTTTGGAGACAGTCTACTGTAGGCTCAGAGTTCAGAGGAAGCCGTCGGGGTTCTGTTTGGGACACTCTTCATACAAAGCGTGTTGTGACTTCTCAGCCGTAGTGCTGTAAGGCAAACGAGGGCAAAGATCAACCACATTTCATGTGTATCAGGTTTAACGGCATGGGGGGGGGGGTGTCTCGTATTTAAGTCTCGTACCGGCAGGGATTGTAGGTGGGGGGAGTTAATGTACAGCGCTCTCTCCCACCTTCAATACCACGACTGATGTGCCCTTGAGCAAGGCACCGAACCTCCAACTGCTCCCCGGGCGCCGCAGCAAAAAATGGCTGCCCACTGCTCCGGGTGTGTGTTCACATTGGATGGGATAAATGCAGAGCACTAATGCCAAGTATGGGTCACCATACAGGCCACATGTCACTTCACTGGAGCAGTACTCTTAAAAAGGACTTTGTACCCTTTTTTTTTTACCTCTAATAGGAACATTAGTACTTTATAGTAATTTGTACCCTTAAGTTACTAATTTGTAGGCCTAACTCTTGGGGTAACAAAAACAAAAAAAAAACTAACAAAATGTCCTTTTAAGGGTACTGCTCCAGTGACAAGCTGTTGTACCCCAAAAAGTGCGATTTTGGCCCCTCTTTTTTCTGCATATAGCCTATACATCCACAACAATTTCTGAAACCACAGACAACCCTATTATTCGTATTCGTATGGCCATCACATAAAAAGGTCTAAATCCTTAGTCTGGGGCTGTGGAAAATAATAAAAGGTTCTCTCTTGCACTGCACCTTCACTTCCCTTTTCTTCATTTCCCCAAATATCTCGGTCAAATTGAATTGGTAAGTGTTGTTGCAATGATGTGCGATCTGACATTATTAAGTAGGCTAGATCACCAAATCACACGCACACACACAGAGTGCACACACGTTGATTTATTAGTCTATTAAAATTCTAAATTCCGTGCATTCTAAATTGTAGACGGCAAAAATGCTTCTGTATGCTTTTTATGTTTATGTAACTCAATCTACATCACACAAAGAGTACACTTTTTCTGCAGATATTAGCATAACACATTTAATCATTTTATACAAGTTCAATAAAGCAATAAGTGGCTTACATTTTAGACATAATATTGCTTGTTTTTGCTCAATTTTTCCAACGAAAATAGTTCCAAACAAAGATCACACAGCACTGCATCTCTGAGCAATGGTGTTTACTTATTGAATGAATCAGCTTTTTGAACGAATCTGTTGAATAAATGATTCACTCATTAAAACACAGTGCTTTGTTTCTGAATGAATCAGTCGTTTGAATGAATGACTCACTCATTAACGGTCACTTGCTGTCACCTACTGGCGGTTTTAATTTCACATTTTGACTTTTTTAATATCTAAATTCTGTTTTAAAATATCAGTATTTAACATTTTATGTTAAAAACAAAACGTTTATCCATCTGTAACTGCAGGTTAAATGCATCTATGTCTCCTCTGAGATACATTAAATTGTAAATGCATCTAAATGCTATTTCAGATGCAGATTCCAGAAATTGGTTTTTTTTTTGATGAAGTGCTTCATATTCTAACCTAAAAATATAAAATGGAAGAAAGTTAAAACGGAGCACAATCTTGCTACTCCATCCATCCACTTCTTTTCCATTTACTTGTACTTAAATGTACTTGTAGATTTAAAAAAAAAAAAAAAAAAAAAAAAAACTTCGTACTCCAGTACAATAAATATCACATACTTTAAGACTTTTACTCAAGTAACATTCTAAATGGTGACTTCAACTTCTACCAAAGTCATTTTCTGGTAAGATATCTGTACTTTTACTGGAGTATGGCTTTCAGGTACTTTATACACCACTGCCTACATATACATTGAACCCATTTGAGTGTGGGATTGACTTCCCATTTTCACTCACTCAACCACTGAAAGAAACTGCATCTAAACTGAATTAAAATTGATGTTACAACATTTTGATCCAAGTCTTGACTAATATTTGATGTCAAATTGATATCAAGGTGCCTGCTTATAAAATTATTTGTCAGACAATTTTAAATGGTCTTACTACTTATTACTCTACCCATTTAAAAAAAAAAAAAAAAAACACTGGGGAGATCTGGGATGTAAAAAAAAGAAAAAAAAGATAGAATGCCATATAGACTAAATTCTCTACAGAAAAGTTTCAAGAGCAAATTTCTCTTGTGATGAAGAAAAACTTATGCATTTTTTTTTTATAAATGTTAAGAGATAAAACAGTAAAACATTTGTTAAAAACCAATTGGATATATTCAAAGTGAAGTGACATGTGGCCAAGTATGGTGACCCATACTTGGAATTAATGCGCTGCATTTAACCCAGCCAAAGTGAACACACACACACACACACAGGGGTTCAGTGCTTTGCTCAAGAGCACCGCAGTCATGGGAGAGAGCACTGTACATTCACTCCCCCCACCTACAATCCCTGCCGGTACAAGACTCGAACCCGCAACCTTTGAGTTACGAGTCCAACTATCTAACCATTAGGCCACAACTTCCCCACAATGACATAATTGTTAAAATAAGTGAACTTTTATTAGCCTAATTGCTAAAAGTAGTGGCACCATGTTAAAGTTGCTGTGACTGAAAGCTATTGACTGTGGTCGTCTGTTATTGTAATGTTAATGTTTTCTGAGAGTGAAGCTTTAAAGTAATTTATGAGAAGTTATGAGCTTTATTAACATTAAAGCAACAGTTCACTTAAAATTCTGATAATTTACTGTATTCACATTCATGTTGTTCCATGTCGTTTCTTCTTTCTTCCCTAGAACCCAAATGACATCTTCAGTTGCTTCTCAGTACTTCATGTTCTTTAAGTACCGCAGTGAATTTGACTTAAAATATAGATTTCTGTCATGTAGTTCTTATTTCATTATAATATACATTTTCACAATGAAAAATACACATTACTATAAAAATTATAAATTGACTGCTTTTTGCAGTGATTCTTCACGTCAGGCTAAAAACTTAGCAGAATAGTCGATTAATAATTATTATTTTTTTAAATCTAAATGATCATTACAATTAACTGCAGACCAATAGATTATTTGTGAACATGACTTAATGTGTTAAGAGAATTTATAATCCTACACTTTTCTAGGAGGGTTTACTGTTCTTAGATGATTTAAGCTTGCATGGCAGGTCTTCCAAACAAGCTGGTGTTCTTCTTAAAATATTTCATCCAAAAATAAAAAGAAAGAAAGAAAGAAAGAGTCATACAGCTTTGAGTATCAAGTTATGCCACTTTATAAAACTCTTGACCTTGCGTACCTGATGACTGTTGGGAAGACCTCTGCGGAGTAAATGTACACAATGGACAGCGAGGCGGTGATGCCAAACTTGCCCACCATGGCAAGTATAGTGCGAACAATAGACAGATCTGTGAAGACAGCAATTATGAATGGATGAGGTTTGTTATGACAGATAGTCTCTGGTTTTGTTTTCGCAATGGCCTGGAGGGAGGGTGGCACACACAAATCTTCATTCTGAATCTTCCTTTGATTCATGACATCACTTTTAGTTAGTGGGTTATATAAACAGTTTGCACAAGTCAAGGTTTTTAAATGTGGCTCAGAATTATTCAGGCTTCTGTCCCATCAACAGAAGTAAACAATGGCATGAACACGGTGGAGCTACGACATCATTACATCAAATGGAGCCTGTGGCCCATTTATTAGGGGCCAAGCACCGAAGGTGTATCCGTTAGAATTCTTCTTCTGCTGCTATTGTGTCTATGGCAGCCCAAAGAACAGTTTGCGGGAAAGTTGTGAAATTTGGCACACTGACATAGGACAGACTCAACATTAACCATAGCAAATTTGGGGTCTCTAACTCACTCTCCAGCACCACCACTTGTCCAAAGTTTCACTCATGTTTATGCTAACCATAAGGCACAGAAGGGGGGGGGGGCGCTTTTTTTAATAGTTTGAAACTTTTTCGAACTCGTCCTAGATGGTTTGTCGGAATCGGATGGTTAGGTTGATTTTTGGCTTTGACATTTACACCAAACTTTGTATGTGCCATTATCACCTCACACTGACCAGGCCACATCATTTTGGTAACAGCGCCACCTATTGGTCAAGAGTAGTAAACCATCAATTATGAAATTTCCAAAAATGCTAATAATTTTTAATTGAAGTAGCCTTTTATAATGAAACTGGTCGCAAAATATTCCTTGGGTCATGCCGAAAACATGGATACCAATTATGCCATTGTGGGCCGAACTTCCTGTCCGCCATTTTGATTTATGCTGAAAACCTACTTTTTCTGAACTTCCTCAACCGTTGGTCCGATTTTCATCAAAATCGAATCAGATCATCATCAGACAGTGCTGACAAAACGTTATGGATTTCGTGTTGATAGACAACCGTTTTTGTATAGCGCCACAACAAATTTGAGGCAAAATGCCAGATTATGTCTGAGGCTGTATCTCTGCAAAACTTTGACATGGACACCAAACTTGTGTGCGCCATGTTACCTCACACAGAACACACCACATCGATTTGATAACAGCACCACCTATTGGTCAAATGTGATAAGCCATTAAATCCTATTACGAGAAGTTGCATTAATGATTTCAGTCATTTTGCTTCAAATCATCCTAAACTTGCTTTAATTACTCATTTTTGCAGTTGGTCTGATGCTCATGCCATGCTCCTCATTTTGCCTTTGGAGTGCTTGGCCCTTTAACTGCTGCTTGCATCTATATTTGGATGTTATTATTACGCATCAAGCAAAACACACGGTACACTCACACACACAGTTACACTACATGCCAGCATCTTTGGGGTTTCTTTAGGTTTCCTTTTTGCTTAAAAAGTTGGGAAGATGGAGTATCGTAGAGCATCAACATGTTTTACTAGGCACTTTGTCATGCTACTTTTCCACCCGAAGCTGGTGCCCAATCTGTAATGGCTTCTGCTACAGAAAAGGTAGTTCTTGGCTGGGGAAAAAGATTGCGTTGTCTTCAAAAACTAGCTGATCTGAAACTAGGAAACACTAACGTCAAAGGTATAAATGACTGTAACTAAAGAATTCAGAAGAACAGCAACTTAGTCTGGTAAGATTGATACAAAACGAAATTAACGGGCACAAAATTAGATCGATTACAATCAGTAGCACAAATTCGGTAAAAGGGCGGATGTTAAAAGTACACATGATTTTAGAGCTTTAGTTAAGTAAAGGTTTGGTTTTTCACCTACCATCTGGAATGAATATGGTAAGAAGGCAGGCCAGGCCACCTACTGCCAAGAATGCTAACTGGGACATCCTGCGTGAGCGGTTTAGGGTGAAGAGAGTAATGGTTCGTGCGGGCATCTCCACCAAGCCAAAGATAATCTGCGTCAGGTAGATATTCATACCAAAGTCTGAAATATTCAGAGACAGCCCATAGTACACCAGGACATTCACAAACCTGTAACAAACAAAATCAAATGTCACTTTTGTGAACTTTGAACTCCAAGTTCAAAAAATGAATATGGGAATGGCCCAAGCTCAGAACTATAGCAGAAGTTTCTGTTATCATGCAACATACAAATGAAATGAGAAATGAGCCATAAAAGGAAATGCTGGAAAGTGTAACTGAAATGGATTATAATCAAAAGCCCTGAAATTTCTTCAACAGATATTGTGAACAGAAAGGATTATATAGTGTTTTGATATGATAGTTGCTCTAGAGTACTTTGTAATTTACTCATTTAGAGGTAGTCATGTAACTAGACTTTACTTCTGAAGGGAAAAATAAAAAAAAGTTCCTCAGACTGAAAGTTTCAGAGTCATCCATCCCTTCATAAATTCATAACATAATTTGCAGGTCCAGTGAAGATGTTATTGATAGCTCTTACTGATGGCTGTTTCGCTAAATTACGGAAAACACACACCTAAACCTGAAGTTTGAATAGGAACAATGGTTCATAATGTCCAACTTTTGAATCATTAATTTTAATTCATGTTGGGTTTTTGCAGTTAACTTTCTTTACCACAAGTAGAAGAGAATCAGGGACTGTTTCCTCATTCTGGGCGTTCGGACCAAATCGATGACAGTGTACTTCCTCAGGTCTTGCACTTTCTCCGAGTTTTTAGGGCTCTGTGAAACAAAATAAATTTTAAGTATTCTCAGACTAGATACCTCTGTAGTACAAGTTGGAGACTAATTTGAATATTCCTTTCTGAAAAGAGCGGTTACATCACAGATAAAATGCAAATACAACTGCATAGCCCTACTGGAAAATGTAGTTGTTTTACAACATTTAAAACTTGCAACATGTTTCTAGTTGGTCCAAGAGGACTATAAACTGGTCCAAGATGCATGGTTTGGGTGTTGTCAAGCTAAACTACTAGCTGGTGATCAAACGTGTCAATTTTAAACCAGTTAATTGACCAACGGTTTAAGGTTCAAAAACACATTTTCCACATACTGTACATTGTTTCTCCTCTATGCCCCGCCTTTCTGAAACACACCGATTTTTACAAAGCTCGTCAGTCTGAAAAACGAGGTGTGCACTGGATTGGCCAGCTATCCAGTGCGTTGTGATTGACTGAATACCTCAAGCGTGTGACGGAAATGTTACGCCCTTTAGCATCCAGTGGGGACATAATTACGGATTATAATGATTTACACGGTCTTTCTACGCATTGCATCGTGCCGCGTAAACATAAAACCATGTCTGCATTTGTGATCGGAGAAATGACAAACAAGCGCTACTCTACACTGCTCAACTCGCGTTTGAATCATCAGTAGCAAATTCTTTAAATATGAAAAACGTACTTGCAGTCTGGGAGTCAGAACAGCCGGCACTGTAGTCTACTCTACCAGGATGACTGAATACCTCAAGCGTGTGACGGAAATGTTACGCCCTTTAGCATCCAGTGGGGACATAATTACGGATTATAATGATTTACACGGTCTTTCTACGCATTGCATCGTGCCGCGTAAACATAAAACCATGTCTGCATTTGTGATCGGAGAAATGACAAAGCGCTACTCTACACTGCTCAACTAGCGTTTGAATCATCAGTAGCAAATTCTTTAAATATGAAAAACGTACTTGCAGTCTGGGAGTCAGAACAGCCGGCACTGTAGTCTACTCTACCAGGATCAGGAAACAGTCCTCCATAAAATGTGCTGCACGCATCTGAATATTTGGGTTGAAGTGTTCTGGAACGGTGTTGTAAATGCAACTTAACCACCGATACGGATTATAATGATTTACACGGTCTTTCTACGCATTGCATCGTGCCGCGTAAACATAAAACCATGTCTGCATTTGTGATCGGAGAAATGACAAACAAGCGCTACTCTACACTGCTCAACTCGCGTTTGAATCATCAGTAGCAAATTCTTTAAATATGAAAAACGTACTTGCAGTCTGGGAGTCAGAACAGCCGGCACTGTAGTCTACTCTACCAGGATCAGGAAACAGTCCTCCATAAAATGTGCTGCACGCATCTGAATATTTGGGTTGAAGTGTTCTGGAACGGTGTTGTAAATGCAACTTAACCACCGATTTCTAATCGTGCCCATTTTTGGAAGACCAAACAAAGTAGTTTCACTTTCAGGGCTAGAGTGAGCAGAGGCCGGCGGGCTTGAGAACGGTGCGGCTGGCGGATTCGACGAAGGAATGTCCGGCGGGCTTGCGGCAACCACATGTGATGACCCCGGACCCCGGGATCCGCTTCGTCCACAGTGAAAGCTGATCTGGCGATCCACAGCACGAAGTTGATGTATTTCCTCAGTGACTAGCACGGATCAGCTCCAGGCATGCCGAAGCGGATATCATCCTCTTTTGGAAGGCCAAACAAAGTAGTTTTGCTTTCACAACAAAACACAGCACCTTCACGACATGGCGGAGGCGGCGGCAGAAACAATACTGCAGCGAGAATAAAAGTTACGCCTTCTTTCTTTGCATGAACATTTGGCTGGCGTTATGCAAATCTTCCCACATAGTGACGTAGACATGTGGGGGCGTGTTAGAACGAGCCGTTTTAGGTAGGCGTGGTTGACTTAACTTTTATAAAGAATATCTCTTTGGATTTGAGACTTTAGTCTTTGCAACTTTACAGATCTTTATGCACCAAGAGCTTGTAACACTCCAAAGAGAAAGGAAAAAAAAATTGCATCGTCCCTTTAAGGTTAGTGGTAGATTGGTATTCATCATCTCTATCCTAACTTCCAGACTTCTCCAGTCATGCGTTATTTGTCAGCAAGCTTGCATTCAGATCGGCCTTCATCCAACCAACAACTTTCAATAATCAGAGAGAGATATAAAAATAACGATGGAAGAAAAGATATGTTGCTACATCATGGCTGTACTTTTTGGATGTCTTCCTTATTAGACGCAAACAGCTCAGGTCATGGAGTACAGTACGCTACTAAATGAGGTAACTTAGCTGTGTTAAATAAGGGAGATCCAGAATGTACAGTGCTGGGGAGGCTCTAAGAATTGTTTGAAAGTCTTGGGTATATAGAAGGCTTTTGTGTTGTTTAGGAAGCTCAGGTTTCCATTCATTGTATTGCGTGGATAAAAAGTGTTCAGTGCATTATTTATTTTTCTTTTATGCTCCACAGAAGAAAGACTGTCATACGGGTTTAAAAAAAACAAAAAAAACGCCCCCCCCCTCCCCCCCACTAGAATGATGAAAGATGACATTTAACTATTTTAAATATATATTTAGCTGGATTTCATAGATAAATCCAACCCCATGTGTCTTTGCCCATGGGCAGTGCCTAAAGCCCAGGAGGAGTGCTAGAATTCTTCTTTGAAAATAAGTTTTATACAAACTTTGGTTTGTCAAATATACAATGTTAGTAAAATGGTCTATTCCTATCAGGGCAGTTCTTGGCCAGAATAAGCTGCAATAAGGACCAGATGTTTTGCTTATAGTGAAAAGGCTAACTACGTGAGAGTAAGAGTATGCCATACCTGACAGAGCTCAATGTCATCGTCTACCAAAGGTTTGCCATTAATAAGTGCTGCCTTACGAATCAGATCCTGTGCCTCTTCATGCTTGTTACTGGCCATTAACCAACGGGCAGACTTAGGAAGCACCCTGAAAATTCACAAAAATAAACATACATGCAAGAACATAGTCGACAGCGGCCTCCTAAGTACCTGGACCATTCCGGACACTTAAGTCACAAGACACATTGTGGCCTTTTTGTGTTTGCAGCTCACCAGATGTAGAACAGGAAGAGGAAGCCTGGGGCAGATATGGCCAACTGCAGCTTTCGCCAGTCTCGGATGAGGTAGGCCACACCTGCAAGCAGAATGTAGCCAAAACCAAAGAAGTAGTCTGTGATGACACCTGCCAACATGCGCTTTTTTGGGCCCGTCCACTCAGTGCCTGCAGAATCAAAAGACAAAATGCACAGATTGAACAATAAGCTACACTCACAGTAAAACAGAAAATCCCAGCAGAATTAGACACTTTATTAGGCCTAGCCTCAGACTAAATGTTATCGCAGACTCTGCTGACTCAACCACAGTCCAATTCGAAAGAATATATATTCTTATTATTAAGAAAATACTCTTGCTGCTAAAATAATAAGGCTAAATACAATTTCTTTCTGACAGGCCATTTTCTCTAGTTCCAGAAAGCTTCACAAAGCATACACAGTAAAATCCTGAGTGTTAAATTAACACTGCTCAAAGAATATGGTCCCAAAAGAGTGTTAAAGTAACACTGAAGCAGTGCTAAAGTTAATAAGATAATTAAGTGATTAATTAAGTGCTGATTGAGCATTAGTGATGAACACCTGAAGGCTGTGGCTGAAGTCAGTTGTAGTTCTTGTGTTTCTCTTTTCTTCAGTGATTCTGCTTGTTAACAGCAGCCCAGAAAATCCCAGCAGAATTAGACACTTTATTAGGCCTAGCCTCAGACTAAATGTTATCGCAGACTCTGCTGACTCAACCACAGTCCAATTCGAAATAATATATATTCTTATTAAGAAAATACTCTTGCTGCTAAAATAATAAGGCTAAATACAATTTCTTTCTGACAGGCCATTTTCTCTAGTTCCAGAAAGCTTCACAAAGCATACACAGTAAAATCCTGAGTGTTAAATCAACACTGCTCAAAGAATATGGTCCCAAAAGAGTGTTAAAGTAACACTGAAGCAGTGCTAAAGTTAATAAGATAATTAAGTGATTAATTAAGTGCTGATTGAGCATTAGTGATGAACACCTGAAGGCTGTGGCTGAAGTCAGTTGTAGTTCTTGTGTTTCTCTTTTCTTCAGTGATTCTGCTTGTTAACAGCAGCTGTGCATCACTAATGCACTTAATTAATCACATAATTATCTCATTAACTTTAACACTGCTTCAGTGTTACTTTAACACTCTTTTAGAGTGGGACCATATATGCTCCAAGCAGTGTTAATTTAACACTCAGGATTTTACTGTGTAACAAGTTAAAATATTGGAGTCTTTAGTGGATCTATTACTTACCCAACACAAATGCATTCATGATTACTGCGGAAATCGTCATGCCCACCACGAAGCGAAGCAGGACATATATGTAGAAATTTGGGGCGAAAGCAACCCCCACTCCAAAGATGGCCTGTACTGCTAAACCAATCAATATGATCATTCTGCGGCCATACCTGAAATAGCATAATACTGTACGTCATTACATAGGTTACTAGAGACACTACTGTGTGACTAAGCTCAGTTAGTAATATGTTTCCTAGAAAATAGGTGTGCATGGGTCTACCCTTGTGAAAAAAAAATATTGATTTTGATCTTGTACTTCAGATCATATATATATATATATATATATATATATATATATATGTATATATATAATCTCTCTCTCTCTATAGTCTATCTATAAAATAATTAGTCTAACAATAGTGTGATTACAAATATATTTCACTACATGGCATACAAGTTTATAATTTTGTATGTGAAAACATTACATTCAATTCACAATTTGGTCATGTTTTTATTATTTCCATTAAAAGTACTCTTTTTAAAAATATGCTAAAGGGTACTTCTTTTTCAGAAGGGTTATACTGGACTGGTCTGTTCTAAAATGGTTGCTGACAATGTAACAGAAAAGTCATGAGTTTGATTCCCAGGTAATGACTGGACTAATCAAAAGAATACATTCCTGGATGCAATATCGCTTTGAGTAAAATAACCTGCCACGTGTAAAAATGCAAACAGTAACATCTTAAATCTTATCATCTTATTTGAGAGGGTGCTCAATGCAGACTGCAGCATGTTGATGTAGAGGATTTTCATGGCAGACTGGATGTGCTGGGTTAAATACAACCCAGTGCTACCCCAGTGCACTGTAGCACTGGGTTGTATTTAACCCAGCAATTTTTAGAGTGTGATTTGTGCCAACCGCAATATTGTTTGTGTGGTGAATTGTTGGCTGCCAAGAGTATGAAACCATCAAAGTTCAATTTTAAGCAATAAACTATTTTAGTTCTAAATTGGATCCAATGTATAATCTGGGTTGTGAAGAAAAGCCTGTTTAGAACCACATACAGTGTATAGTGCACAGTCTCATGTAAACATATGTAGTCTTTCCAGTATTTTAGAGCATTCCATCCCACATTCTCCCTTCAGTTCATTCAGCAGTTAATGTTTTCACACCACAGTGCTGCTATTGTCTGTTCAGCTCTAAAATGTGAACATGTGCTGCTTATTAGATCCGCTCTCTAAAACCACTACATTTTTCAATACTGCAGAATCCATCCGATTTGGCTCTAGCACAAGACATTACTTGTCAAATCACCACTTCTCTCTATAAATATCAGTAAATAAAACCAGAAATAGAAGTCTGCATACAGAACAGAAGCCTTCCCAGCCGTCTCAGAAGTGTGACAGAGCATGAACTGTGAGTCACATTTGTCAGCTAATCGAAAGGGTGTGTTCAGAGTTTTTCTGAGACCTGTTTATGTAAAATATCCAAAACTTCCTGGTATTGAGCTCTTGTCCAGGCACGTGCAGTTCACAAATCATCTTGTGTCAATCAGAACGGTTTCTAACCTGATATCCTGTTTTTTCCCCCCATTGGAATGGAGAGTTTGGGATGTGTGAGAGAGATTGTGTGCATTAAAAGATTTTCTACTTACTTATCAGAGAGGGTGCCAAACAGAACAGCTCCAACCAGCAGCCCAAACATATAGATAGAAGATCCAATGTTGTTCAAATTGGCATTTTCACACACAAGGTCCCACTGTAAAATAAGGTCACAAGGTCAAAATAAAATAAATCAGTGTTATAGGAATGGTTTGTGGAACATTATGGCTAGTTGTTGTCAGTCCAAGGTGGTTTATCCGTCCTAACTAGCTTGGTCAAGATGGCCTGCTATCTCCAAAATCAGTTCTCCAGTTGGTACAGTAGCCCCCTGATCATCCATCTAGACTTACTACTGGATTTAGTTGAAATTTTCAGCAGGGACTGGAGGAGCCCACTGTCAGAAAAAAAGTGCAAAAACTGTACCTTTAGAAGCACAACAGCTTGTCACTGTTGCTAAAGGGACAACCTTGTACCTTATCTACCCCTAAAAGATTCATATTAGTACCTTAGCATTGCATATATACTCTTAAGGTACTATTTAGTGGTAAATAAAGATGGCCCATGAAAGTACTGCCATAGTGACAACCTGTTTTTCTGAATGAATGTACTTAATTATTTCATTATCACATTTTGGAATTAACTCTCATCTGTCTTCACCACAAAAATACCTTTGGTAGGATCTTGTTTCAGAAACTCTGTCCTCGAGGTCTATATGCATGGACTAGAGAAAGATGCCCCCCCCCTCCCACACACACACACAAACACCGCAGCTGTAAAGCAGAGAGCCGTATCAGATAGTCTGCCCCCGTTTTGAGGTTGGGCAAAGATCCAATCTTTGTAAATCAAAGGAAGTTCTGCCAGGATGCCCTGCTGTGAGCAACCCATCTCTCTGGTCACATGTCGCAAAAGAAATGCAGTTCCATTGGTCCGTCTTGCAGTCCTGTGAGCTACACCACTTTAATGAAGCCGTCTGAGATGCCTTCACCACGGGAGGCCAGAAATTCTCAATGCAGTCGGCACCCAAAACATCTAAACCACAATACATGACCGGCTCCGACAGCACCAGAAAGAGAGACGTGTTAAGAAAGTGCAACGCTGTGCATGTTACGACATCCTGTTATACAACCGTGATGTTTTGAGATTAGCACTCACCTCTGTGACAACAGTACTGAGAAAGACTTCCTTGCTGAATTCCCATCCTGCCATGCAGCCGTTTGAAATTGACGAATGCTCAGTAATTGGTAGACTGTGATTAAGCTGGGACAGAAGGCCATCCTGAACGGATGTGCAGGACTCCCCAGGAGCAATGCTGAAGTTGAAGCCCAGCCTAGGGCCACCACCGTCGCCCAGTGGCCAGGTGGATCTGCACAGGTGAGGGGGCACGGCCCCAGTGAAGACAGACACCAACATGTGGAAGGCCAAGAAGATCTGTGGCAGGGAGATCCACACATAAAGCGTCTTCTGGAAGCGTCCAAACCCTCCAATCCGGTCCAGGACTTCGTCAAAATTCATCCTGCCTTTCCTTGAATGTCACTTCATGAAAATGTACACAGCATCTATTCAGGTGATGATGACTGGGCCCACGAGTCTTAGGACACAGCAGAAGTTGGTGTGTTAGTGCACATGTAAGTAATGCTCTAGATGATGTCAGGTCAGTATTATGATATTATCAATGCTATGAAATGGGAATGGCTAGGAGGGACAGGCGCGTGTGAATGGCCGGTGTAGGTCTCCTCACACCTGTAGCAGAGAGAGAGAGGGAGGGAGGGAGGGAGAAGGAGAGACGGAGAGCTCTGCAGCGGAGTTCTGACTGTTTGGGTTGTTTGAGGGAAATATAAGGAAGGTCGGGCTGGGAGTGACCCAGATATCTGAAATGAGCCAGTGAGCACGAGGGGGAGGGACTTTTGAATGAAGGGGCGGCGATTATCTGTGACAGGAGGGAAGAATTATTTTCACACTCTCTCTCAGTCTGCATTACAAACTCAAAGGCACTGTTTCGTTCCTCTTCTCACCAGCCTCCCCCCTGCACTTGTTTCTTCCTCTTTATTTTCATTTCATTCACAAACTTTATGTCTGAGGGTAAGAGAGAGCAGAGGAAGTGTAAGAGAAAGTAAAGGTGGTTTGATTTTCTCTCTCCAACTTAAATAGTTTCTTCTACACACAAGAATTAGGGGACACACTTTAGTTTGGGGACCATTTCTCACTATTAACTGACTATTAACTATGACTTTTACCTCAATAAACTCATAATTTGCTGCTTATGAATACAGTAGTTAGTAATGCAGTTGTTAAGTTTAGGTATGGGGAAGGGTTAAGGCAGGGCTATTGAACTGAAATTTTGAAGGGGGCCAAAGGGGTGGGTGGCTGTCCCGATCTCTTTCTGAGGGGCCTATAAAATTAGAAATTAAATTTAAATGCATATTCAGCAGTAAAATATATAATATTATCAACATGGTATTATCAACCAACATTTATAAAAGGTTAACATTAGTGATGTCTGTGAATCGATTAGAATAATAAAAAAACGAATTATTCACACATTTTTCTATAATTAATTGTAATTAACTGCATATTAATATATTTATATTGTCATCATTTCAAACTGAACCTCCAAAATAATGTAGAAACAATATAAAGATGGTATATTTTAAATATGTGTTTAATGGCATCTTTTTACTAAGTAGCCTATTATCAACAATGGCCAGTATTTTTGATAACAATGCAATACTGCTACTGATGTCTCTATTAAATGCATTTTCCCCTCAATTTTAGCCATTGATTATAGCAATTCAACGTTACAGTATAATTGAAAGCCATTATTTTTAACATTTAGTAGGTTCTGAAAAATATAATTTTTAACTTTTAATTTAAGTGAACTTAAAAGAGTCTTCACATAAACCAGAAATTGTTTATGCATAAATGAATCTTTATTCAAGCTACAAAACTTAATCAGCGACTAGAGCAGTCGAGTGATTTATTTTCTTTTGTTCTGTGATTTACATCAATGAGACTTCATCAGATTTCACTTTAAAAGCAGCGCTGTCACTTTAAAATCTGATGCACACGACGCGTATCCGTATCTGACACACTCAATTTTCTCCCAACTCTTTATAACTCATTTAAGACCGTGTTTACGAGGTCACTTGCCAAAACCCAGCATTTTGACAATTCTGTTTTTGTCTGTTGAAGCGCTACTGGCGCGCTGTCGGAAGCGGCTCAGAATACAGCCGAACATGCAGTCTTTCAGACTCCATTCGATAATCATCTTTGTCCAGTGTCTGCGCTATTTCTCGACAGAAGTTATGACGGAAAACACTGCCTTTATACTCCTTTAAACTAGAGTTGAGGATATGTCATAACCCCCTTACACAAGCGCTTGTCAGCGCTACCATTCATTGATGTTAATTTGCGATTGTTGTTGTTGCGTCTCTCGTTCTTTTCTTTTGCGGTTGTGAAACAACTACCCAGGCCAGTGTTGATACCTTGTGGACAAACTAATTAGTGCAAAAACAATTCAAGGTGTAATGTGCGACCTGCGCGTACTCTCCCCTCGGGCCAGATGAAGATGAATGATGGGCCGGATGTGGCCCGTGGGCCGCCAATTGAATAGCCCTGGGTTAAGGGATCTAAAATATAGTCATGCAGAGTAAGACATGTATTTTATAAGTACTAATAAAGAGCCCATATGCTAGTAATATGCATGCAAAGCAACTAGTTAATATTGAGAATTGGTCCCTAAACTAAAGTATTACCAAACTATGTTTTCTAAACTATGAAAGAGCAACAAACTTTTCGGTAACACTTTATTTTGATGGTCGCTTTTGAGCATTCTGTTGACAATAAGTAACTTTGCACCTACATGTCAACTAAACATTAGAGTATTAGTAGACTCTCTGCTTAAAGGTCCCCTGAAGTGCCTTGTGGTGATGTAATTTCAACTGAAACAGGAAGACAGGGTGGGACATATTGAGCAGCCCCGCCCCCTTTTTAAATTAGCCAATAGCGTTTTGCTTATATCTGCACGGGTCAGAGCCATTGAGCCCGGTAAAGCCGCATTTGACAGCCAAAGTCTAATATGGCGCTTTTCCACTGCGTGGTACGACTCGGCTCGGCACGGCTCAGTATGGTACGGCACGGCACGGCTCGGTTTGCGTTTCCACTGCAGTTCAGTACCGCTTTAGGGTGGGTGGGATTATTGACATGTCGTTATAGTTGCGCCGCCTCTACTGCCGCGACTTCTGAAAAACGTTTTAATTCCGCGTCGCCCCATCAAGCTCTCGCTGGATCCGCTCCTCTGCTATCAATGAGAGGAACGTCTGTACTTCCTCAACAGACAATGAAACAACCACTTTTTGGTTGTTAAAAAAGGCGCGCTTGTTCAAAACGGTTGCGTTCGATCCTTCGCTGGCTGTGCTGATTTAAATCTAGCGGTTCTGTTGTGTTTGTGTCGCAAGTTTAGTGACGATTCTCTCCGGCCAATCCGTGATCAGCAGAGTTTACACGTCACGTTTTGGTAAAGGTACGGTTCACTTGGAACCTCAACCGAGGTGGTACTAATGCCGCTTTTCCACTGTGTAGTATGACTCGGCTCGGTACGGCTCAGTACGGTACGGCACGGCTCGGTTCGGCTTGGTTTGCGTTTCCACTGCAGTTTAGTATCGCTTTAGAATGGGTGGGATTATTCACATGTCGTTATAGTTGCGCCGCCTCTACTGCCGTGACTCCTAAAAAACGTTTTCATTCCGCGTCGCCCCATCAAGCTCTCGCTGGATCTGCTCCTCTGCTATCAACGAGAGGAACGTCTGTTCTTGCGCAACAGGGGGAACAGCCACTTTTTGGTTGTTAAAAAAAGGTGCGCTCGTTCAAAACAGTTGCGTTCGATCCTTCGCTGGCTGTGCTGATTTAAATCTAGCGGTTCTGTTGTATTTGTGTCTCATGTCGCAAGTTCAGTGACGCAGGTAGTGACGATTTTCTCCGGCCAATCCGTGATCAGCAGAGTTTACACGTCACGTTTTGGTAATGGTACGGTACGCTTGGAACCCCAACCGAGGTGGTACTAAAAAAAGTACCAGGTACCAGGTACTGTACCCAGTGGAAAACCCCCAAAAAGTGAACCGTACCGAGCCGTTCCATGCAGTGGAAAAGCGCCATAAAAAAACCTTACCGAGCCGTACCATGCAGTGGAAAAGCGCCAATAGATTACCCCCTAGATTCAATATGAAACTCTTAGTAAAACAAAACAGTGATCATAATCATGCTGAGACTGTGTAGTTTTAAAAGTGTTTAATACATGCCGACTCGTGCATATGATCCGCTCCGAGCGATTGCGTCTCTGGACCTGAGCCAAAGTCCGGATCAGACTGTGTCGCAAGTTCGCGTGACACAACGTGAAACCAGACCTCATTTGCCCCAATCGAAAGCATATCTACACTATCTGAATCGTTCCCTATCGCCTACATTGTACACTACGTGCCATTTACTGTACTGTACTGTACACTGTGAACAAGCCACCGATCTCAGCCGCAGCTTCAGCGTCTATTTATAGTGTAGGGGGCGGGCGCTTTGGCTTCTAGAGAGCGTTTGATTGGTCAGAAGATTTGACGAGAAGATGAAGTACGATGTGACGTCAAAAAAAAAAATCGTTGAGTGGTTTTGGAGGAAGTGATGAACTAAAAGCTTTGAATGCTTATATCTTCTAAATTATTATAAAGTTACGTTCATTTTTATTGACACAAAAATAATTCCATACTAAATCGAATTTTGTCACTGTTTTGGAGCACACAGCCTTATAGATAACCTTAAGACTAACACATTGATACTAACTTTAATTTTGATTTCATGGGGACTTTAATATCTGCTAACTATTTATTGTGATGGTTTCCTAAAAGTGTTTTCCCAACTTTATTGTGAGGTGTTTCGGTGCTAACGTTGCACTTCAGTGTAATATAAGATTAATCTAACAAAAGCCCAATTATTTTATATTAATTGAATGATCTGTTATGAGATGCATTATAGGGGCCAGTTAAGGGCAAACAGATAACAAAACTGAGACAGACCTTACCAGAGGTGGGACTTTCAAGTCACAAGCAAGTCTTCAAGTCATATCCCAAGTCCTCAAAGAGTTCAAGTTAATGAGATAATTAAGTGACTAATTAAATGATGATTGAGCATTAGTAATGAACACCTGCTGTTAACAATCAACATCATTGAAGAAAAGAGAAACACAAGAACTACATCTGACTTTAGCCACAACCTTGGATGAAGTCGACTGAAAAGAAAAAGAAAAAAAAAACACTATGCCACCATAATTGTGGTCAAGGTTTGCTTTAGGTAGTCTCTTGACCCTTTTACTAATTCAAAGTAATTTGCTTCTGAGCAATTACAATGTTAATACACAGCAAACATTGGTGCATTTCTGAATCAAACCTTGAAGCAGCAGATTAACTTACACTTTCTAATGAATCAGGATGAATGAACTTCATGAAGTAATGTCTCTTTTGTTTATTGACTGCCACGCAGCGACTTCGGAACAGAAGAAAAAAAAAACATCTAAATAAAAAGAGCCACTGTAATGCACCGAAGTTGTAAAAGAAAGACAACTGTGTCAGCTCAGGCTTTTAGACATGAACACTTATCATATGATCCTCAACAATGGTGACAATTTTTTTCATACTGCATTGCATGATGGGAGTTTTTACTATGGCGTTACCCAGTATGCATTACAGCATGAAACATGTTGTTGATTGTCACCATTGTTGAGATTCATATGCTGGTTCTTGATG